CAAAAATCAATGAGTGTCAGATCTATGGAGCAGACGCAAAAGTGTGGTTGCCCGAAGCCCTTTGCCAAACATTGCCAAGACTGGAACTTAGTACAAAAAATTTATAAAGATATTAACAAAAGCATCTCAAACATTTCTTCATCCTTACTAACAAAGGCAAAAGAAATATACACTTGCTTTAAATGTTTTTAAGTCTTGGAGGTTAAATGAATGTACACTATCTGTTAACCGCACCTGCTAGATTAATATTACTTCAAAAGCACAAAAGTTTCAGCATCCTCAAAGCTGTTAAGTTACTTTTTATGATATAATCGTGTCGACCACTTGCTAGTATAAACAATGGCCGATCATTCAACATCTTTATGACAAACATCTAGAACAATATTGGATTCAATACCGTTTCTAAAAGTCAAACTGAATGGATCAATACGGGATATTTGAAACAATATCGGGCCCCAATATCGTTCACAACTTCAGCTTATTGTATTAGCTTAGCGAAGTACCCTAACCAATTGTAGTATCGACTATTTGTAGTTGAAATGTTGGCTGAGATGTTTACATTTGGAATATTTAAGCCAATTTGTTTAATAATCGTGAAACTGATCTAAAACTATCGTGATTTATGTGCTTTTAACTGTTTCATGTGTCCTTTTTCTATATTTATTACAGTTTAAATATGTTTTAATTGCTTTATTTTGTTTTGTCTAAATAACTATAAGCCACGTGTTTTGCACTTCTTGCTTACTTTATTTAATTTTTTTTGGTGGTTGCCTGGAAGAACTCCCCCTATTTATTAGTTATGTAAATATTTCTGTATACAACGAAGTGATAATAATCAAAATGTAATACTTTTTATCTGCAATCGACCCCAGAATCTTCAGGCTATACTTCAGAATATACAAAGTAATCTTGTTTATGATGATGAAGCACAAAAGAGGTAATAATTAATATCAAAATAGTACTTAATTAAAACAGGCATGTGCTTTTAATAGTGAAGTATCTAGTTATGCAGTTTCGTTACTACCTTTTTAATTATCTCATAAAACGTATGTAATAGAAGGCGCCGAAGATTGCGCACAGATCAGTAAGGAGGTTGAAGTAGCCATGGAGCTATATTGCAAGAAACCGTTAGAACATTTGTTTTTAATTTCAAAATTTTGTTTTCAAAGTTCATTATTATAGCTTACACTCATCGACTCAATATATTCTTGAAGCCTTGTTGTATGTACAAAAAAATATAAACGATTTTAAAACAAATGGTGACTTTCACCAGAATAATACTCGAAGCAGAGCTAATTTAAGCGTACGACCAATTAGGCTCTAAATAAGAAAACTCCTTATATGGAAATTGTATTAGTTATTACATCAAACTCCAAAGCGAAATTAGAGATTTATCACTGAAAATATTCAAAGCTCTCGTTAAAGGTAAATTAATCAATAAAGATTTTTATAAATTTGACGAATATTTAAATGATCCTGATCTTTGGGATGGATTTGCTTCAGTTCAAACAATTTGTATGACTCAAAATTCAACGATTAAAAGAGTGGCGGAGAGTTTCTTGCCCGCTCTACGCCCTGACTTGTGCACTGGTAGTAAATGTAAATTTAGAATCAATTTAACATATTTTCTGTTCATAAGTGTATTTATTTACTTACATGAATAAAGTTATTTTGAATTTGAGACGCTTTGAAATATAAAATATATTTTAATAGACTTGAAAGATTTCGCAGCAGACTACTTTCGAAGCGAACAATGAATGTTAAAGCTTTTCTGCTTGTACCTTGAAAATGTACGTTTAACACGCTTGTCAAAAATACGTGCACAAATTTGCAAGCATTCCGCAGTCAATTCGGTACAATTGCATTTTACAATTTCGACATTGCAGTAATCAAATCCTAATTAAAGACGCTGCTATGTTTTTTGACTCGTGAATTTATAATTGACTTCAAAAGTCTTGTAAAAGGAAATTTTTAAAGTGTTTAATTTGTTTCTTGAAATTTTTCTTTATAGATAAGTTAATCGGCCTTCTGTGCATGACACCTCGTTGTCCTCACAATATGATATATGGAATGTAATGACATAGGAGAGAGCTACTAATGCACAGCCGGTGTTCTTACATACGACTTCGGGGTTAAAATGTTCTCAAATGTTGACATTGCTATCGACCGTAAAAAAGAGAAAATAACAGTGCTGGCTTAGTGGGTTCAGCGTGCTACGTCCCTGAGGTCGTAGGTTCGAAACCCGGCTGTGTACCGATGGACTTGCTGTCTATGTGCATATATAACAATCGCTCGAACGGTAAACGAAAACATTGTGAGGATAAGCCGGTTTCCTTAGACCCAAAAAGTCGACGGCCTGTGTCAGGCACAGACGACTGATCACCTACTTGCCTATTATATTGACAAATGATCATAAAACAGATACATAAACCTGAGTGCCAGATAAAAAGGTCGTAGCGCCACTGCTTTCTTTTATAGACCGTACCAACAAGCTTATTAATTTAATCAAAAGTTTATATGATATTAGATGCGAAAAGATTGTATTTCTTACATATACTGGTTCTTTTGAATAATAACAAAACATATTTACAAACTTTTACATCCTTTAGGTGCTATGTTCATACGATATTAAGAAAGAAACAAAAACATTTATCCAGCAACGTCACATTTCAATTCAGCTCTAAATTCAATTACTTCTAAAATAAAATCTAAGAAATAACAATAAACAAATTACTTTGGTAAGCGGGATTAATGAGGTAGGCAGTCGACATTTTCTGGGCCAAAATTTATATTATTATAACCATTTTAGTAACTAATAAAAGCTATATATGTCGTAAAAAAAAATGTGCACTACAACCTATTTAGGTCTGGGACTCAGATTTCTGTATCTGCTTCATTTGTCAATCTAATAGGCTAGGTGAACAGCTGTGCCTGACACACGCCGTCGACTGTTCGCTCACCGAAGCCACTAGGCCAATACTGTTCTGTATAATATGTCTTAAAATTAATAGTGAATACTCCGATGGGAGTTTTAACTTTTCGGAGATATCCAAGATGTATATCAGCTATTAGCTAGGAGGGCGGGCTGTAAACAAAAGGCAAGCGAAATCTCGATCACAGCCCTGGGAGTTTTATCTCAGCGGGAAGATAATTCCTGATAATTTCTTCAATTAGTGATGTGCCGAGATCACAGCTTAGCAGAATTTATTTAGTTAAGCAGTAAATCTCGACTAGATTAATTGGTTGAAAAGGTGGGTATAAATCTTGGCTTTTACAAAGGTTATGTCTCAGATAAATGATGAAGACTATTTAATTAATTTTTAGTTTAGCAGTTCTTTAACAGAGTCTTGATGTTAATACTCTTAGTCAGAATTAAGATTTTCCTTTGGTTGTTGTACAGTTTTTGTTTTATGCTGACGATTTTAAATTCTTTTTATTATAATATATATAAAGTTGGGTATTGTTTTGATTTAGTATTCTTTTGAATATGTTTTATTAGATCGTAAGCTTAAACGTAAAATTTATACAAAATTACATAACGTAAGCTAATGTAGCTTTTATGTGAATGTATAAATGTTTTAGAAATAAAAGTATGTACGAAGCTGTTTTTGTTTGTTTGATGATGATATTTGGTTTGAAGAATGTAAAATATAAATTCTCCCTTTAATAAATATTTTGATAATTATGACGTTTATTAATTTAGAAGGAATATATTAATGCCTAATCCTTAGTAGTAATGGAGTCTTTCACATCACTAGATCTTAAATAAATAGTCCCACTGTGGCAATCCGCCTGAAGTAAGCATCAATTCTTAGGCATCTTGCGATGTCCCCGGGGCAATAGACGAACTTCACTTAAGATATGAATTTTACGATTATGATTTTAATGATAGTCTTGCTCAAACATTCATAAAAACTAAATCAAACATATAAATAATTAATTCACTTTATACACATATTTCAATTTAATTGGCCATATATAATCTGGACTTATATGGTTTACTTTATGATGTTTTACATAAGAATAACCTAGAAACAAACCCCGCAATATTTACCACGTTTCTTAGTTAAACCCGAAGCTATAATTAGGCAGTTTGAACGAAAAAATGTGGCATCTCTTTCCATGAGAGAGTAAGAAATGAGTACGAATGAGCACATTAGTTGAAACTATGAAACTCAAAACTGACAAAAATATCAAAACGTCTTTTGTGCTTTATGGAAAGTATAAAACAACAATACAAAACTTCATTTGGCCAGTGTTTTCTTTATTGAGACTGGCAATTTATAGCAGCTGTTTAATTATGGACAATAGCGTTTTTATTTCTTACTCGGTTCGGAGGCCATCAGGGTATACCCACACTAACGAACGTAGCTAACACTGTTTTTAATTTTTTTTTTTCAGAAGGCAACCAGTCAGGAGGCTTAAGTGAAGTTAAGTAGTATTCCGCGGCAATATTTGCCTTAAAAAACGCTCAGTTGTGGAACGACGGACGTTGACCACACACACACATACACACATCACATGTCTCACATATTTCATAATATATACATACATGTTGATTTTAAAAAGTCGCCGATCCGAGAGCAAGTAAAACTCATCCAACACATCACAGATTGACACATGTAGACATTGACAATTATATACAAATATAACCTGTAAAATGTCTATGATATTGCATGGTGTTGCCATTCTATTAAAAATAAATGACATCCTTCTCTTTACATTATCTCCGTCGAACTCATCCAAATCGGCTTGAACGATTTAAATAATAAAAATTGTGTGTATATGGTTGGTACAAGGTTTGAAGATTTCATGAAAACGGTGGCCGCACCCTTTTACGATTTTACGTTGGCATTTTGGCATTAAATACTTGTACGACCAACCCCCATATTAGCGATGTTGGTACTGTAATAATCTTCAACTCTCAGTGGTTGATAAAAATAATTTTAATGGCAAAACAACTTTTGCTAGTAAAAATTCATAGCTAAAAAATGTCAAACCTCAGTGGTTTTCTTCTTACACTTATCAGTACCGGCGAAGATGTTCAGCTGCTTGGAGCCAGGCTTCAGAGGACACTGGTCAATATCTACGCGTCGCAAATCTATGTCGATTCCACTCGTACCTCTGGAAAGAAACAGGTTTAATTATTATGGGCAGCTAATTTCTAATTATCTACTATAGTTGTATGAAATTCTTAATGTACGAACTGGAAAATTAGATGATGGGCAATTATCCTGTTTGTTATTTTGTCGGGAATAGAACGTCTATTAATGCCCCGAAAATGTAGAATACCGATTTGAATTGTAAAACATTTCAGCAAGTGCATCAGTTTTGCGTAATTACTGCCAAATTATTCATTATTTCAGACTAAAAAAAAACTTTTGAAATAAAATTACTAAAAAGTCGCATTCAGAATCGTTAATTCACGATGGCCGTTATACATTATGAGATAAACCTTACAAATTGTTTCGCGATCGTTCGACGAATTTATTGTTATTGCTAATACTGTACAGATATATTTTTAGCACAGATAAAAAAGCTTTGAGTTTCCTGTGTCACACTTAACATTGTTAGAATGGTAGGTTTTAAATTGGAGGCAAATTGCTAGATTCGATTTTTCATTAGTCACGCACTACATTACAAGCGATGGCCACAAGGGTGACCATTGACAAATTGCACAGATTAGTAAGGAAACATTTTCTTCGAACACTTTTAACTAGGTGACGCTACGTACACCATTATTGTAAATAATTAATCATATCGTCACTGTAGAATGATAACCTCGTATGTCAAAAAAACATTTTTTATTCTTAGACTCTGGTATAATCATAAAGTAAGGACTTATTTATGTTATTAATAAATAAGTCCTTTTTACCATCCAAAACTATAGACAAAAACACATAATAATATTTTAACGAACATTGACGAAACGGATCATTTTTTTAGTTTCCTGTAATGTTTGGTTTTTTGGGCATACGAGGTTATCATTCTACAGCGACGATATTACAACTATAAATATAGCATTAAATAACAAAAACCAATTTAGTAATCATTAGACTGCAATAATTATGTCGATAACTGACGCAAATCTTCATTCAGCTTAGCGCTGTAAGCTGTTGTCTCAAACTTGAAATTTGTGGTACTAAAAGTCAATATTGAATCGGTATCGCTATTGAAGCAGATCCACAGAGGTATTTCCAGCTTAATCGAGTGAAATAACTTAGTTTAGCTTAGGTACGGAATAAAGTTTAAATACATGTAAGCTGGGATATAAATCAGAAATACAACTCAGGAGTGTGGTTTAATTTAACTGAAGCAGTTAGTGTCGCGAGTTCAGCTTGCGAGGCCCGGTTATCCTATAACGTTTAGTGTTTAGTGCAAGTCGTGAACTTTTGCGTGTATTTTCTCTATAATAGTTATTAATATGTTATTATGTTCGAATATTCAATGTATTTTGCCCGGAATCAATACTAATATTATAAAGAGAGTATATTTGTACTGTTGTATGTTTGTGATAACTCAAAAAAACAAATTTTGCCCAACTTTAGAATGCACTATCCATGAGTAAGAAAAGCTTTATTTATGATGAAATATAAAAAAGCTGTTAAAATTTCGTCGATTGAGTTAGGAGCTATCGATTTAAACATATATGTAGTTAAAGAAAACACTTTTTTAACGGATTGAAGCTATGTATTGTAAACTTATAATTATTTTACATAATTTTAATTTTTTCCCGACGATTCGCGTGCTTTACAGCGTGCGTGGTCCCGGTGACTAAAGACAAAAGGTGTTGAATGTCAAAGAGTATCACAGCTATAGAAAAATTTATATTATCTGTAAACTAAACACCAAGCAATGAACGTATATATAGACATAACAATGTTTTCTGTACAGACAAGTAGCCCTTTTAAGTGGAAATGTCATTTTTTTATTAATTCTTATGAACGTTACCTAAACTGCTAATGGATAAGTTACGATACTACGTCTTTGCGTGTTGTGCCATAGTGCAGGGTCCTATTTCACCGCGCCTTGCTGATAGTCAAGCGTTTGGTTTTCTTATTTATTATTTTATTTAATTACAATAATTGACTTCTTTAACGTATTACGAGGAGCATGTAACGGTTGCAGGTGCTTACAAAAAAGCCTTGGCTATTTAAAGGAGTGACGGAGAATTCATTGCCAGTTCTTCTTGTCCACGCCCTTGAATTGAGAACTGGCAGTAAAATTGAATGAATAAATAATATTTTCATTTGATTTGAAAGTTAAGACAACACTACTCTGCACAAGTTAGAAATATTATTACTGTATACAAATTTTATCATTTTGCTTATCATTTTCCTTATAACAACAAAGAGTCTTAAATATAAACACTTTTACTCAATCTTTTATCGTCTATATTTTTATAAATATATGGGTCATTTAAATATTTGAAATCTCTACTTAATGTTGCATACCCTAAATTACATACAAATGCAGTGAAACCTGGTTAAAAGGGATCTCAAGGGACCAATGATTGTGTACCATTTGAAGAGGTTTTCATTTATCCAGTATTCTAATTAGCTTCAAATTATAGTTGTCTCATTAAAAGCGGCCCTATCGACTACCTATACCGACTTTCCACAAGCATAAGCTTATAGCTGATATTTTGGACACCTTGTTTGTGGGGTAAAACCTGCCATACTGAACCATGATAGCATTCACAAACAAAGCACGTGCGACATTATCTAACTTACATAGGGAATAGAGCTACAGACCCCAATTACAAAGGTAAACATCGAAAAATTCTTGAATCAAATCTCATTTAACCAACGAAAAGGTGCCACTAACAAAGGTAATTCGATGAAAAAGTGCGCGGCACCTCATTGCAATTCTCAATAGGTTTCTCACTTACTCAGGTCCCACTAACTGTATTTTGCTCTAGCATTTCTAAAGCAGACATTCTCAAAATTTAAGCCCTAAGGCTAATTACCATCTGTGGTCGTCACAACCTACAGACGTGAACAAGTAGTGCAACGTTCTATAATCTATACTAATATTATAAAGAGGAAAGATTTTGTATGTAAGTATGTTTGTAACGAATAGGCTTAAAAAGTAATGGACCGATTTTAAAATTTCTTTCACCATTTAATTGATATGTAGCAATCACTGATTGATATAGGCTATTTTAATAGCAAGAAAAAATAAGGCTACTAAAACTACAATAATGTTACCCAAGGTATAAAATGCCTATAAAATATCTTTCATCTCATGCGCTGCGAAAACTATTGGTCATAAAACAAAAAAAATGTTCCACGCTATTAAATAATATATCAATATCTACAAAAAATTACACACATACACACCCAATGATGAACAGAACAAGACAAATTTAAATTCAAAGGTAGTCCATGATTGCTTAAGACCACTCAAATGGGGCTTTTTTAAATTGTAATAATCAACTTATATACAGGTTGGCCAAAAATTCGTGGATCAAACGCAACTAGAACACAAAACAAACGTAGTAATAACTTGTACCACACCCATTTGACCCCTCTCCATGACAGATCATGCAAAGTAACATTAACTAGAGAAACGGGTCGTTTAGTCATTTAAATAAAAGGTTTAGATGAATCACATACCCAGATACAAAGGCTTTTGCAAGTATCTCTATAAATAAAAATGAAGACTTATTTGAGTTTCACAACTGAGCTATTCGCTATTTAAATATATAAAAGTGTTTGAAAGCACATCTTAGATATTTTAATTGTATTATATTAATTGTAAATAGGTATAAGATATTAAAATGAATATGTGATTTAAGGTATCATATTTGTTAGCACTATATTAGATCCTTTCCTAAACAATATTAGGTCCTTACATATGAAATTGGCGTTGAGTATGGGAATATTTAAATATAATATATTTATTTAATCGAAGTATGTACCATTGCTATATATGCACTTTTCCATCAATATAGGTATTTCATTGCTCCCTTTACTAAACTAAGGCGGTTTCGACTGCTCTATCAGAGTTGAATTTTTTACCTTTGCAAGAAATTATACAAATTTCGAAAAGAATTGTAACGTAAATGGTAGGTAAGAATGTTGGAGAAAGGTCCGGGGAGTACGGTGGATGTCTTAGACATTCCAATTTAACTTCCTCTAATCATGGTTTTCGATAAACAAATGCACGAGTAAATAGCCGTAAAAATTGCATTTGGAATTCCTTACCAAAGAGGAGATATTGAGGTCAAAGTGGCCAGTACGACAAAACAATTTCATATGTAAGGACCCTAATACTATATATTAATAACTGATATTAGATATTTTTCATTCAATAGAAAATTCAATATACCATTGTAAACATACTTACTTAATCCATATAAGCATTGTTAAAAATGTATGAATATTTGCGAGTACTAACAAAACAAGAGGTGATGGAAGGGCAACGTTCACAAAGATATAAATTTTAAAATGAAAATACCTCTGTTTATCTAAGAAACTAATATTAAAATCTACTATCTAAGAAAGTAAGTTTTGTATAAAAATCTTTTCTAAGACAACATGTAAACTTTTTATATAGCATAGAATATTTTTTAATTTTTGAGGGTATTTTTATACCCTCAATGATCCTGTAAGGTTAATAAATTAGCTTAGATCGTAAGGTTCAGAAAGCAGTAAAATTATATTAAAAAAGATATAATAACTGAAATATCAGAAGCCATACAATTAAATGTATTTAATTAAATGCATTTCACGAAACCCCAAGCAGTATCTCATTAAACATTTTCAAACATTTCACTCTTGAGTTTTTAGTTTCAGTATATTTTATCACATGTTATATTTTTTTAAAGTTGCTTAGTTGGTTAGTACAAACTTGGATTTGAAATTCCTGGATTACTATCGAAATAGTTATGAAATTGGGTCATTCGAATCAAATTCCCTCGCTAGACATTCGAAATTAAGGAGACTTGGTAACAAAAATATTTACCTATAATTCGTAGACGTTCAAAAAGCCTTAAGCTACGTACAAACCACGTATAACGTGGTAAAGACAAAACATTCCAATAGCTTCTCCACGTCTCGTGTACGTATAAGTTCACTATCACGCCCTAACAAAGTAATAAAAGATCTAATTCATATCTTATATCTGAAAATATATTTTTTTTAAAGACAATTCACACCAATTGACCTAGTCCCACGCTAAGCTGGTGAAGCTTGTGTTATGGGTACTAGGCAACGGATATACATACATATTATACATAGATAGACATATAAATACATATTTAAACACCCAAGACCTAAGCACCACATCAAATGCTCATCACATCGATGTTCGTCTCAGCCGGGGGTCGAAACCGGGACCCATGGTTTCGCAGTCAGGGGTACTTACCACTAGACCAATGAGTCGTCATTATTATTTGATAAAAACCTACAACTAATAAATCTAAAAGCTTAAACTAATCAAACATCAGGAGATCTTGATTTATAGCTTTCCAAATACCAAAATTAGATCTTTAGAAATTTGCCAACCAATTTCGAAGACGTTACAGTAGACATCTATAGAATTTAATAGTGACTGACGATCTTTGTTATCCAAGTTAACGAACTGAATATAATAAAATAAAAATGTGTTTAGTTATTGTAAAAAGGCATTATAATGTGTAAGATTTTGGAATCCTTTAAGTAAAAATACTTGTGTCAGTGTTCCCAGCTCTTCCATAACAATTTTAATAAAACATTCTGTAACATTGTTTTTAAATATATATAATTTTTTAGTAAAGGATATAAGGAAAAAAATCTAGTAATTTGATGACTTATCAAGATTTTTTCATATATTTATACTTTAGAATTAATGTAATTGTACATTACAGCAACGCTTTTTGGTATAATATTTACGTACAGGCGTGTGGATGTGAAATCTAACCATCAGTCATGAAGAGAAATCTGAAGAACATCTTTTTTTATCTATATTGAGAAGCCGTTATACAATTTTCGGCAATTACTAATCAAAACTAATGTTTCGTGTTGAAAAAAAAAACATCTTTCATTTATACAAAATAAATAAATCAGTGGCGCTACAACCTCTTTAGGTCTTGGCCTCAGATTTCTGAATCTGTTTCATGATCATTTTTAAATCTAATAGGCAAGTAGGTGATTAGCCTCCAGTGTCTGACACACGTCGTCGACTTTTTGGGTCTAAGACATGTCGGTTTCCTCAAGATGTGTTCCTTCACCGTTCGAGCAAAATATGTTAAATGCGCACATAAAAAGAAAGTCTATTGGTGCACAGCTGGGGATCGAACCTACGTCCTCAGGTATGAGAGTCGCACGCTGAAGCCACTAGGCCAACACTGCACTATCTCTATCATTCATTTACACATGTTAAAATATTGTCATTTGTACTGCTATAATTTTTGAAAACATCGCTTGTTTTAGGGATTTATTATATCATAATTCTTAATATTTGAGAGCGTGTGTTCCGTTATTTATGTAACAGCTCTTGTTAATGTTTTATTCATAAAACAATTTATTATTTTTATGATCCAACTCTTCATTGTTTGCCATGACGGAGCGAAATGCCAATTATCCCTACATTTTATAGGCTTAACTATGCTTACCAAGTCGTCACGATAATAAGATGCCTCGTTCCCGCGTTCATCAATGTCTATAATATTGTCTATGCGAACATTAGACATTTAAAAATTCAGCTTATATAAACATAATTTATGAGTGATCGAATGATGCCATGACTAATTTTTTTAAAAAGGAGCCTCCCGCGACCTTTTGTCTGTGTGTATACGCGATAAACTCAAAAACAACCAAACGGATTATTGTAACGTTTTACTAAAACTGTCTGGTTCCTAAAAGTTTTTGTGTTTGTTGTGTTTAGGTTTGTGGTTTTGGTTTGGTTAAAATACACGAACTCTAATATCCGATAAAGTTTTGTTTAAATGTTGCTTATATTTTTAATGTTTATATACACACACACACACATATATATATATATATATATATAGGTATATACGTATATATAAAGAGTGTCTCAGCGCCGATTTTAAACTTTAAACACAAATTTCTCGGTACCCGCGGGGCTAGCGGGACTCGGGAGGGGAGTAGTAGTAGCGGATTTTTTAATCGCTATGTCGCAGTGGTCTTGCGCAGACCGCGCGTACGCAGTAGAGGCGTACTTTTGCCTTTAGAGTCAAAGCCGTTTACGACGACATCGTTTAAAACAAGATACCGGTTATATTGACCAAAATCAAAGGTCCCGGCTAAATTCTATTGTATTAGGTACATACTAAATAACAACGACATCGGCTGTTACGACTATAGGTTTTTAAGACCAAATATCTAGTCGCTTCGATGTCGCTATAACAGATTTTGACTGTATATTCAAAACAAACAATCTCAAATAATCATCACTTATTTATATTGCATACATTACATATATATATTGTTTAAAAATTAAAATTTAATTATTATTCTTAACTTACTTGAAAAAATAAGTGCCGTTGTTGTATCCGAAGAAAGGCACCGTGTATGTCAACATCCATATGTTACCGCCACCACAGTCATAGTACGGCTTCGACCACTTGCCATCTTCATACGTAACAGCCAGAATCTCGTCTTCCTCGCGTTCTGTGTGTGTTGTGTCGTTGAATGTGTATGTATTGTAGCCTGAAAACAAATAATAAATTAACTTGATATGAAACAAACTGGCCATGTGGAATAAAATGTTAAGTAACTCTCATAACACCTGGAGACTTGGAGATGTATTATCGATCGTTACGTTTGTTCTATTGTCGCTTAGAACTCGTCCGGTCTATACAAAGAAGTCATCGTAATTGCCATCGCTCGCAACTGTATAAAGCGCAAATTCGGCTCCAAATGGAGCACTGTTCTCATCTCTGGGCGGGAGCTTCCCAGTACCAGCTCCTTCCATTTGACCGTATTCAACGAAGAGCGGTTCGAATAGTGGACGACCAATCCCTTTCACGGGATCCCTTGGCGTTTGTGATGTTTTTAAGACAGTTTCTGCCGTGCACCACCATGTGGAACCAGCTGCCCACAGAAGTGTTTCCGAAGCAATCCGACTTAGGGTCGTTCAAGAAAAGATCGTACCAATTCTTAAAATGCCGGCAACGCACTCGCGAGCCCTCTGTCATTGCAAAAAATAATAATAATGGTCATCACGCAATATCAGTTCATATTTTGTTAACTCCTTTCCTCATATTCATATCATATTAACGCAACGTAAATACCAATATCGTAGCGGATATAACAAATACATAAAGGAAGGATAAAGTAGATAGCTACAAAGTCAATATTATAATAAAATTATCCACCTCCTTCGGTTAGGTTAATATGAAAAAAAAAAAAATGAAATTTTTTATCATATCGCATTTAGCCCGATCATTTTAATTGGATTTATTCGCGTTCTATTAAAATTACTGATACCAGCTTTAACATTCTTATAATGAATGCTATTGACAACAAAAATATTCAAAAGCTTTATGTTATGTTAATTTAAAGTATTTCACGTGTCCTGAGGCTTCATTACATGTGTCCACTGCGAATTCCTTAATGATCCCCTTTGATGCATCTAAGTTAAGCACTTTACCTATTAACTGAACTAGGCAGATCTATCTGTTTTTATTTATTTTTTCTGTAACATAGAGTAAATAGTTCTAGTAGAGTAGTGTTGGCCTAGTGGCTTCAGTGTGCGACTCCAATCCCTGAGGTCGTAGGTTCCATCCACGGCTGACCACCAATAGATTATCTTTCTATGTGTGCATTTAACATTCGCTCAAACGGTGAATGAAAACATCGTGAGGAAATCGACAAGTCTTAGATCCATAAAGTCGACGGCGTGTGTCAGACACTGGAGGCTGATCACCTACTTGCCTAATAGATTAAAAAAATGATCATGAAACAGATTCAGAAATCTGAGGCCTAGACCTGAAGAGGTTGTAGCGCCATTGATTTATTTTTTTATATATGTATACTAAATGTTTCATAAATTAAGGTTTTTTTTTCATGTTACTCCGTGTTTTTTTTTATTTTTTTTTATTAAATAATACCTTTTCTACTCCCCTGCCATTGCCACACAATTTTTTACTCCGTGATTAAACGCACATGCCGTTTTACTAGAAGTACTCCGGGTTAAATTACCGTTAAACAATAATTACTTGGCTTTGGTACCTATGCATTGCCTATCTATATGTATTATAAACTAGCGTTCAGTTGGCTAAATATATATTTTATTTATATGTAATAGTTGAACATAACTTAGACGTTTTTGTAGATATTGATGTCTTCTATAAAACTGTAGTACATCACTTTGCTCTATTATTAATAGTTTCCGCTTCGTACGCGATAAAGGGATTTTTATTGGTATTTTATTCACACCTTCAGCTATTACACTATCGAAGTTTTCATACGGACCCCTAACTTTTTTGAATACAGCCTATGTTCACCTGGGATAATGGAGGATTGTAATAGTAAAAGTTTTTTTCAAATCGGTGCGGTAGTTTTGGAGCCTTGTTAATGCGAACAAACAAATATATTTTCTTTGAACTTTAGTTCATTTTAAGGAAGTCCTTAATAGTGTCTAATATAATTAATAGTTATAAACATCAAATACACCGTATATTTAAAGGGTAATTATTAATATAAATTATTTTAATTATATTAAATTTATTATATAAGAGAAGTTACGTAAAAATTGTTTTCAAGTTTTGTTATTTAATGGGATTCACGGTTACAATCAAATTGTTAATATTGAATAACACAGTTTCATTAAATTGTAATTATTTAACCTAATTACTGTTTCACAATGCCCAATAACTGCATGAAATATTCCATTATTTTCTAATTATGACTTACAGCCATTTTGATTATTTAAAATAGCCCTAACATAGCAATTTAAATTCAATGCTTCGTACACACTGAAAAACCTGCAGCTTGGTCAACGTAGACGTAATGGCCCAGTGGGTATTTAAAGAAGGTAAATAACTGTCAACATAGTTTACCAACAATACCTACCTATCTATGTAATACATGTCCTTTCAATAAAAGCGTGAATACTTGTATCTCTAAAACGATTAAAACGATTTTGCTTATTTGACTGTTCTCTTAGGTATATACCGTATTAAAATATTTTTTTTAGTTTAGTTACGATATATTTGTGGACAAATATACAAACAAACACGAAATTTAACATACCTGCTTAAAAGTCTAAATATATAATTATACCCAAATACAACTACAACAACATAGAAAAGAAACTGATTAACTTCATATTTTGTAGTCTGACAATACATATTTTGTTTATTATTTGATTTTTAAAATTAAGGATTCGAGAGTAGATTCGGACGCTGTAATGTGTTGCTTGGCCATTCTACGTAATCTTTTTTTGAGTGGGGAAACGCGTTCCATATAGTTATTTTTTTAAAATAAATGCATAAAATATGTTCTATATGTGTGGATGACAATAGATATATTAAGAACATAACAGAATAATTATTATTAGTAAATAATCTGGTGCGTCTAAATAATAAGGATGTTATAAACAATTGATTTGAGGAAAACCCAAATGACATTAACCCGGCGCGGCGGGAACTATGTTGGCTTTTTAAACCTTATACAAGGAACTATATTCTCTAAATTTCCATTATAGTATGTACGTATGATAATATATTTACATAATATCCGATGTCTATAAGTACATATATATATGAAAAAGACCATATGTAAGTACATATATAAGGTGTCGAGCACTTGGTCCGTGGGGTCCTAGCGCTATAAGGCTTTTAAGGAAATAGCAAAAAGGTTAGTCGACATCACATGAGACCGAAGAGCTGGTAGCTACCTCGGACAAAGATTTAGTCTAGCAATCCGTAGAGGCAACGCTGTCAGTATCTTCGGAACCTTGCCTAAAGTTACTCCTTTTAATAATATCTTTTAGTTATTATATTTAAAGGTTAGCTATTATTTTTTTGGTATAGATTTTAATTAGTTATTTATTATAATTTGTACTTGTAACTTTATGTTTCCTACATAAACTTGGCATTAACTTGTTAACGTATTATATAACGTTTCTGAATACCGTATATTTTAGAAAAATATAAGTACTTATCTCTCAACGTTTACAACACAAACTTAGTAAATAAATTCGTATTAATTAATGAAGGGCATATTCCCTTATGTAATACAAACTTTATAATATTATATAAACATTTTTAAATTACTGTTATATATTTTTTACGAGGGCGAATTATACCCCGCAAAATAAATCCGTGTACAATTATTTACAACGCTACGGCTACCGACAGGTTAAGGTTATCAATGTTATCATTGCCAATAAAGGCGCCCAGCGTTGTATTCAGACCGCAGTAGCAATTTGCATCTTACAACATGTATCGCGCTGTACTTCTGGCGTTTCTTTGTACTGCAGTGAGCAGCCACTGGTGTGCCGGGGACAAGCCATGTCCATGGAAGCATCGTCATCACCACTTCCATCACGATCACGGCCATTGGAGACATTTTGGAAACCACTTTGAACACTTGGCTAACCAAGTGATAGACAGCGAAGAAGGGTATAACAATCACTGCAATGCTGTTTCCAACAACGTTCAAGAAATGTACACTAATGATGCGTATGTATTAATATATTCGCCTGGTTTTGTATCAACAGAAATCACTTTGCAAGTCAAGCATAGAATGATAAACGCAATAATAAATGGCAATGGTGAAGAATTCAATGATATTAGAATACTGCCGGATATTCTAAATGCCGCACAAGCTGGCTGGTGTTACGATGGTCAAAATGTGAAAGTGGTGATTCCTTACAGAATAAATTTCAATGTTGTCACACCAGCTACTTGCATAAATATTAATAAAGAGACGATAACGATACAAAAAAATCCTAATTTGGAAGATATGGATGTGTACAGACAAAACAATGGAGGACGTTTAGGTGGTAATTTTAACCCGAGCATTCAAAATGTAAATAATAATTGATTACTGGTCTAAACGGAGGTATATATATAATATAAGTTATATAATTAATTATTAATTTCGTACAAATATGATGTTCCTAAGATAACAAACTAAAATTAATATGTAAAAGCAATGTTCATTGATATTAGCAATAAACTGATATTGTTTTATTACCATTTTTGTTTTGTGTGATTTAAAATTAATTTTCAGACTAATGAAGTATTTTAAAATAAAAAAGTATTCTTATTTTAGTATTTTATTAATCATCATCATCATCAATACAATTCAGCCCCCTGTTGGCATTAGCCTCCACAAGTATATTTCGCCATCGCAATCTATTTAGTGCGTCCAACTTCGAACCCTTATTGTTTCGAGGTCCTTGACAACTCTATCCCACCAACGCAGCCTTGATCTACCGGGTTTCCTCTTGTCAGCAAGTTGTTCAGTAAGAACCTTAGGGTAATATAACCCTTTTATAATTAATATTTTTAATATAGTGAAAAACCGAAATTATTATATATAAATTACCAAATTCTAAAAATATAGGGTAGAAAAGTATATCCAGTTATAAAGGTCAAATACAATTTTTGTTATGTTAGTTATTGAATTGCATATTATAAATTTATAATATGTTGACAGAGATAACACTTTTCCTTATTGACAAGCTACAAGTTAATATTAAAACCAGAATAATAAATAATATTTTGGTATCTATGTAGTTTTGGTATTTTTTTAAGATATCGTTTTTTTATTTGGAACATGTATGTTCTTTATCTAGAAATATACTTGAAATTTCGGTAAAAGAAAATTCCAATAAACTCACACGTGTTGTGGATGAAGTATATAAGTAAAATTGCTCACACTTTAAAACACGCATTCCAGTCTAATCTCGCTTTTAGTTTTGGCTACGCAGAGACGTGACGAAAGTGATTTAGATATTAAGAAGACCATAGGTTAGGGCCTACGATTTCTGTATCTGTTTTGTGATCATTCGATTTCTTTAAAGGCTATAGGGGTCTACTGTGCCTGACACACGCCGTCGATTTTTGTGTACGGCATACCAGTTTTCGGTTTACTTACCCGTACTAGCAAATGTTAAATGCGCATCGACAGCCGGGGTTCGAACCTACGATCTCAGGGATAAACTTATGAGCTATAAACGATGATTTATAATTACAACTTACAGCCGTACACAGAGTACATTCAAAGTAACGGCTACATAAGCCAATTATTAACTAAAAGCACTTCACCATACGTTTTATGAACTTCAATTAATCAGGCATTTGTGTGAGAGACTATAATTTAGGTGAATAGAAAATTATAGATAATTTAATAAACGACTAAGATTGTCAAAGAGCGATTAGACAGAACCTATTAAAATACGTGAATCCAATAGCATATCTTTCCCTATCTCTACATTTATTCCGTTAGGGACAGTTTTACGAGCCTTCAGACTTCTATTCAGCACAATTGTTCTCTTGATTACTGTTAATTTTAAATCGTACAGTCGAACAATTTGAATTTTTATAAAAGGTTTTTAAACGTTTTTAAATAAGATTATTATGTTTGTGACGAGTAAACTGAAAAACTAGTTAAAAAGATTTAAAAATTCTGTTAATGTTAGAATGAGCATTGAGAAACAGACATTTATTTCCATAATAATTGTCCAGCCAGGTGAACCCTGGACCGGCTGCTTATAATAGCTATTTTCCAGCCTAACTTTGTTCTTATACTGGACGGGGTAACGTACGGGACTCTTGCATCGTTCGTTGAAAATTGTTTTTACTTCTCGTTGAGTTGGTACCCTTTTGTTATTTTACACAAATTTTAAATACAAAACACCTACATCTACTACGTTCATTTTTAGTTTAACATAATATGCTATTTGTAAATACAATCACTTCAGCTTGTATATATTTTATTTAAAAAAGGGATTCCCATTAAAATAGCGCCAGAAATTATACCGGGAAATGACCGGATGAATTTCCCACCCGCATTCCCGCTTCATTTTATAATAAATAATATTATTATTAGTAACTTATTTAAGATAGTGTTAATACTTAAAAAATATTCAACTTTGTAATCTGAATAATTTAATCATAAACTTCCTTACATATAATCGCCTCGTAAGTATATGAAGGGCCTTATAAGCTGTTGTTTGATGTTTCAACGTATAATACGCGTGTCTTTAGTGTATGCAAGTAATACTTAAATAACAATATTAGTTTGAGTTGAGATGAGTCAAGAGATTATACATAAATTTATGTTTATATCTTCATAATTTTAGATATAAAACTTGTTGTTGAATGTTTAACTGTTTTATTATTATAGGAGAAAATTAAAAACGTCCCAGAGGAAGAAATCCGTTCAATAACGTCCCTGACTGGATATTTTTAGATACAAAAACTAACAAAACCACTCACCACGTTTGAACTGATTGTGATTTCGGATCACGCGCTCGGCATTCTTCCGTGCAATGTAGAACCACTCCGACATGTTGCTCAAATATTTATACTCGACCGCCAAATCCTTAGCTAATATTGGTCCTTCGGGCAACCGATACGCAAACGGGCAAAAAAGTTGGTAATCCTTGTACTGGTACTGGTCGTAGCAGTTCCCCGCACCGAACACGTTGTCATCGAACTCAACCATTGAGAAAACGCTCGCATGCAGCAAATATTCATTATGCATGACAGATGGCCCAGCATATTTCCATAATCTCGTCAGCATGTTAGCTCTGTTAACCGCGACATCTGCTTCAACTCGAAATCTCTCTTGGGCGTACCTGTCTACAACCCCCTCACCTAAATTTAAATGAGTCCCAGCTGTGCAATTCTCGCCCATCAAGTGTTGTGTTTCAATTAATCTTAAGAATTTCGTAACTACGTCTTCGTGGAACGGCTTTGATGTTATGTTGTCTACTGTATCATTTGTCATGCTGTCTACTACTGTAACCGTGTTATCGTCTCTTTGCGTATCGTTATCGTAGCTATGTTCGAGGTTAATTAGATGGTCTAAAAGGGCATCATCTGTTGGATCACGGTGGAAGGTCCCGGAATAATTTCCGAAATATTTTTGAAAAGCGTCTGGTGTTGTATATCCATCTTCATCGGGAGCACTGTAGGGTCGTAACGCTGCTACTACTGGATCTTCTCCAGATTTGTCTATACTCTCTGAAACAAAGAAAATAAAATAAGATTATAAATCGATGTATTAATTTTTTTCAACGAAGACTTCTAGACGAATAGAGACGCTTTTGGCTTGTAATATTGAGATTATTTCCAGTCTATTTCTCAAATAAAATCAAACATTAACAAGGAAATCCTCCGTCTGTGATAGGCCAATATTGATAGTATCATGTAAAAATATTCTCGCGTTAAGGGGATTTCGCAGACACGACTCGCTTGTAAAATCCGCTATCTCGCCCTATAAAAGAGGATTTTGTTTATGGCAACAACAAATCGCGACTTTCATTACGTCGGGGCAATTGATGGCTTGGCATTATTTATTGGTAGCAATTTTGTCGGGATAAAGAAAGAGTGAACTCTATATTATTATAGAATTCAAGGTCGCCACCTTTATTGGAATTTCGGCATCGATAAGTTAATTTACTTTTACAGGCGTTCCTTCCGTAAATTTCTGCTCAAAATGAACTGTTCGTCTTCTGTCCGAAAATAACGCAAAGCTTTTAGAGATAATTTAAGGAATTATGTTTTTTTATTACAACAAAAGCCACCTAAATATACGAGTATTTACATAAGAGAATAAATAATATTTACAAAATTTCGACTGAAACAGGTTTTTTTGTTTAATTAACTGACAAAACCCCTAAAGGATTATAACGATATAGACTAAAATAATGTAATTGGCACTAGTTTTGATTTTTATTTGTTTGTTTACAGCAGAAGCCAAAATCTTTATCCTTACATTATTTTATACTATGCAAAAAAAAATCCAACAAATTTGATTGAATTAATTATATTAATATATTTGGTATCTAATACCTTTTCTTATACCTGGTACCTTTTCTTTAATATCAATTAATTTAATACAGAGAATTTTCATTAAGGCACTAACCCGTGTAAAACACAATGAAAAAAAAATTTGTATTTCTCATAGCACACAATACAAGATTGTGATATACATCTAAATAAAAATGTATTTACTTTATTAGTGTTAGTAAAAATTGGCTTAGTGGCTTCAGCAAACGACTCATTTCTGAGTTCGTAGGTTCAAACCGATAACCGAGCTTTGAACCTAGTAGCCACTGGTTTTACTGAATTTTCAAACGCACAAGTTGAATTTATTTTTCTTCTAAGTACAGTTTAATAATTAGCAATATTTAACTAAAGTAAATTTATTTTAGCATTTCGTACAGAATACGACTGCATTTGCAGTTGTGGTAATAAATCAAATAGCAACTTGTTGCAGAACACGGGTTGAACTGCGAGCATTGTGGCTTAATACCCAGGAATATTTCAGATTAAATGTATATTAAAAAAAAAACAATGTTAAATTTCAATACAATTATTATTTTGCAAGTTTTGATTTTGTAGCAGATAGTTAAAATACGAAAATTATATTCAGTTCAGTTTCTTATTGTACATAATTTAGGTTCTAAGGAAGGTGTTCTAGCAAAATTAAATAAAGATAAATAAAGCAAGGCTTTTAAACATTCTTTCATATATGGAATTTGTTCAAAATTCAATTATTCAATAAAATTAATTTGAATTAATTTGATAATGTGTTTAATAAGCTAGATTTAGCTCTTAAATAATAAATGGAAATAGTCGTTTATATATCACAAAAAAAAATCGAAAAACTTTAGATTTAATTCAATTTCAAACACGACTTTATTTAAATCAATGTAATTAGACCGATTTAAATGGGGATTAAATTATAAATTTAAGCCGTCTTTTTTAAAATTATATTGTATAAAGGTCAATCCGTCTCAACTAACTGTTTGAAAGCTTTGCCTATATTTGACAAGTTTAAGGGTTGTATGTGAAGAGGGTCAGATACAAATGTCTATTATCTCTGAGAATGGGTTTTTAATATTGTATTCTTTACTTGTTTAGATCAGTGTTAATGGTGAGGTTCACATTCCTGAGTTCGAACCCCAGGTGTGCACTATTTTTGTTCTATGCAACTAGATGAATACGCAATTACTTTAATGACGTTTGTTTTTTTATTTAACACTTCGTTGCAAAACTATTACAATGGGAATATTTAAATTAGCAAGGGCGAGAAGGCTGCAACGCTTTCCAGCGATCTTCCAAACGACTGTTCTATATAAATATAAAATATGGTAAAGAACTGTGAAACTTCAAATTAATTAAATAGAAATAATAACAAAACAGTGACTTCAATTGCAAAGTGTTGAAATAAAATATACTATAAATATAATATAAATAATTGAGCTTTTATTTAATACTTGGAACAAGGAACAGAGTGTATGAGAGAAAGGGCCTCCGAGAGCGAGAGCTAACTAAAGTTAATATTGACTGATATTCTGCTAAGGCGGGAAATGTTAATAAAATTTAATACGAATAAAAAAATTACACAAAGCTCATATAAGTCTATAAAATTTAGAATAAGTTCCACAATAAATTCTTAAATAATGTAGGATGAAGCTTGAGTTCCAAATTCAAAAAGAAATAAAACCATCCAGGAAATGCAAACCCTATTCAAATATAAATTGAGAGGTACTTCCGCTAGAGCGATCAACAGCATGGATTTATTAAACGTCACGTGCATATCGCGAAGTGAATAAGCTTATTGTGTAATTCTCGTTCAGTTCAACTTGAAATATTGCGCAGACAGCATTTGTCTGTAATCTATTAGGTAAGAATTTTGTAAGATTATTATTAATTCCTTAAAATGAGTACATTTATTCAATAAGCTAACTTTTGTATACAATTATTCCGTGGTTTGTGGTGCATGTTTCAAACATTTTTTTAAAGACAAAGTAGTCTTAGTGTTACATCTAATTAATATGGTCGTATAAGACCTAAAGTATGCGTAAATGTATGAGTATGTGAATGGGCATGTGTGCGTATAATACACTCTATGTCTCAGTGTGGCTGAGAGATGTTAAAAGTGCTGTGTCTGTGTTAGTTTTGGAACCTCAGAGTCATGGCAAAATATGTAATAAAGCCTCTGTAGAATCTAACAAGATATTTGCAAATAGAATCAAACTTTATTAAACAAGAATTAGCATCTATCGCCAGAAAATTGGCAACAGGAGCATGCACTTACATTTCAGTGAGAACAAACATATAACCAAGTATATAAATTTATGTTATGGTTAATATTAATCTGCACATCTGTAAAGCCATGTTATCTGTTTCGTGATAATTTTTAATAGGCCGGTGATGCCGGTTTCCTCACTGTTTTCCTGCGCCGTAGAAAGCAAGTGTTTAATGCACAAAAAGAAGAAAGACCATTGGTGCAGCTGAGGTTCGAACCAACGTCCCCAGGGATGTATAGCACGCTGAAGCCCCTAGCCCACTGCTTAATACTTGGAATGCAATAACTTACACAATTCATCTGACAATTGTCTCAAACAAACGAAACGGGCTATGACTTTTTCTTTTGTTTTACATTCCCACACCTTATAGCCCCTCAGCACAATCAAATAGCCAGCTCAATAATAGAATTGAGATATACTAACGATAGATTAAGAAATGACGTCCACCATAGGAACATTCAGCATTCGGTGGTAGAAGGCCCTGCGCTAAAAAACTTTAAATCTGGTTTCGATTTTCAAACCTATTCAACTTAGGGTCTTTTAAGAAAAGAGCGGACCAATTCATAAAAGGCCGGCAACGCACTCGCGAGCCCTCTGGCATTGAGTGTCCATAGCCGGCGGTATCACTTAACATCAGGGGAGCCTCCTACCTGTTTGTCCCCTGTTCTATAAAAAATAGACGAACTGACCTGTAATAACTAATAAACTAAAAACACTTTCGCACTTTTAAGAAGCTTGAGGAAAGCTTAAAAGTGCGCAAGTGCCAGGTCAGCGAAAGAATAAAATTACTATAGTTTATAATAATGCCGCAGTGTTTGACAATATGCAAATATCTCAAGTGCCACTCCAAGCGACAGAAGTAAAATTCTTAGAGGGATTCTCTTTATTTTATCATATTTTGAGATGTCGAAATGGAAATTACATGGTCTGAGCGAGTTTTTGCTGCTACAATGATTTTCTGTTTTTATTTTATGATCTTGGTGTTCGATGAAACGAAAATGACTTGCTTATAACTTAAGACATCTCAAGGTCCTAAATTTTCAATTAATAGCATTTGCTACATTAACTAAGTGATGTATAGTTATAGATAGTATTTATGGATTTGGACTGTTGTCGTGTTGAGTATTTTCATATACAAAAAAAAAAGGATTTTTGTAAAATTCAAACAGCTAATACCTGTCCAGTGTCCACATTATTAACTAAGTTAATGTTACCTATTATGTATTTCATCTTTGGCTATATCTTAAGTATAATAATTGTTTTTTACACGCTTTATATTAGCTTCACCTGTATGTACCTGTCAAAGATCGATGTCAATGCAATAATCCGAAAAAAAAAATGAAAAAACTAAAAAATAAATAATAGTTTAAAAAAACTAAAAAACACGCTTTTAAAGCACATCAAACTAAAAAGTGAAAAATAATTCCTAATTTAGGCTGAAAATGGTAATGAACAAAAAATACTGGTATTATTGTGAAAAAGCGTGGGGCGCTCTGTGCCATTTTTTTCGTCTATCGAGCAACCCACGCTTTTTCACAATAAAACCAGTATTTTTTGTTCATAACCATTTTCAGCCTAAATTAGGAATTATTAATACATATAATTTATGTTAGCAGTAGGATTATAAAATAAATAAATAAATAGTAGTAACATCTCTATATAAATATAAAATCACAATGTTCGTACTAAGACTCGTAATTTTCTTGTACTTTGTTTTTTGGTTATAATTTAGCTCTTCATTTACTGCATTCTGCATTCGGATATGTGTATTATTTACTAGCGGCCTTTTGATAATATAACTTACTTAAAGATAATGTTGCATTTTAATGATGATAGTGCTCTTAAAACGGTCCACTACTTCTAGAGTTCATTCGTTACATCTTTACAATTAGCATAGATTACGTCAGCTAATTGATGTTTAATTAAGTTGCAGCTCGTACTGACTTTTTAATAAAAAAACATTGAAGATAGCTGAACATTAGGGACAAGAAAATTCCGGTGTTATTCAGTTGGAACTAATGAGTGTTTGAGCTAAAAGTTTTGGGACAAAAGGAAAGTTTAGGAACGAATGTTCGTGGTCAGCTCGGAAGTTGTTTAGTCACTGAGCAATTATGTTGCTGTTTATTTACGGACATCAGGTATGTCAAGCTTTGAATGAGACAGTATTTGTCAAAGCCAAAAGTCACGTAACTGTCGTTAAGTCTACATAATACATCTAATATAAACAGTATGTGGAGGTCAAAGAGCAATTTTACAAAGGATCTCTTTCAGTGCACAAGTTTCAAGAGTTTTTAAACATTGCAAGTGCGGGAATGGGAAATATTCTAAATAAACATAATTAAAAACAGCACGTTATTATAGAAACGCAAAATATATGTTACTTTTTAAAAATAAAATAGGAATACAAATCCATGAATAACAAGAACATGATTAAGTATATAACTAAGAGATAAGCTGCAATGGGAGGTGTACAGTGCCCGAAGAAATTCGACGATGGGGCAAAAAAGGCCTAGGTCCAGTAGTGGACATCGACAGGAATATCCAACCAGGACGACGAGGAAGAAGTAAAGGGATAGAATGTGGTTAAGGAGTGCTGTACTTAAATAAAACTTTTTAATAAGCTAGATTTTTTTTTGCATAATTTACATAACTCGTGTAAAGAAAAAAAAGTGATAAAAACATATTTGCTTTAAAAGTTAACTTATTTATCTTAATTTATCAAGACACTGCCAACGTAGCACTTATACACACCATGTTTTATAAAAGCAATAACATTTTTTCAACCCCTTTGGAGGAAGGAATTTTCCTTATTCCG